TTTTACTTTGTTTCTATTTTAGTTTTAGTTTCGTTACTTCTAAGACAGCCCCACCCCCCCCCCCCCAACACACACACACACACACACAAAAAAGCTCCCTTAGCTCAAATGGTTAGAGCACCCATTTAATAAGCCACGTTTACAGTTAGACTAACTATCAAAATTGTATATTCACCCTGACGGATGGTAATACAGATTGTACTTCTTTTCCATTTGAATAATCGAATGCGATGATGTGATATGTTGAAAGATTTAAGTCTAAATCCTTTATTTTCCACTCCTGGGAAGTAATAAAGAACATCAATAGAGGATATTGTAATTTCCCGTGAAGGTCTCTCTTCATACTAGAAAATGTTGCTCCAATAATGTCGTTTTTTCACCTCGCAATCATCATCAACATTGGCTCTGGATCCAATTGAAAAAACAAAGGAGTGAAGAGAGTGAAAGTGAGGTGATTTTAGTGCATTTCAGTTTCTCCGTGAGTTCCATAAAGCATAACCAATTCCAAGCGCATACTAAAGAAGGTTGCATATGTTGAGAAACGGCGCAAAATAGTTTATCTATGAAGAATCCTCTGAATATGAAGAGCAAAGTTGGTATATAAAATTCATGCTGTCGAAATCAATTAGTCTGGATTGAAGTTTAGTTGATTCAGTCGTGCGAAAGACAAAGAAAACCATTTCACAGCTGCAAATAGCACTGGATTTTTTAAATTCTTGAGTAAAGAAAGAGAATATTAATACAAGAGTGCAAAGATCAATGCAAAGGCTCATAAGCAACCTTCAGACCGTTTGGCCAGCTTTTCTAATGGAAGAATTCAGCTAACTCTATCACTTGTATACAGAAATAACTTCCCTAAAAAGAATTTGTTACAGCTGACTATCTGGATAATCAAAGTATGGTTTCTATGTTAAGCCAGTACTTTTTCTACTTCTTTGAGCTGCTTCTTTGAACCTGAATCGCATTTTGTAAAAATATCCAGATTAGAACTTCCGAAGTAGTAACATTTTTTCAAAGAAAGACAAATTTAGAATAGTAGAAAGACCTAAAGAGATGGTACAAATTTTACACAAGAACTACAGAAACTGTCGATAGTCCAAGATTAATATAGACACTATAGACAAAGGCCTTTACGAGTAATCAAAAACTTTAGGAGTGAGAGTGATTAGGGTTGCCATTCTTTGCTCTTCCAAAGATTCACGAAATGAAAATTGACAAGGATTCACTTTTTGCTTCTCGAGTCATAGACGTCAGATTAATTTACGCAAAAAAAAGGGTTGTGTACCGGAGATATTAGATATACTACAGACCAAACACCAACATCAGAAGCTCTCGTAGCTCAGTTGGTTAGAGCACCCGTTTAGTAAGCGGGAGGTCTTGAGTTCGACTCTCAACGAGAGCAATTTTTATTCTTTTTTTCCCTGTTTGTTTTCTTATGAAAACTGACAGTGCAGTTATTCAGACCAAACATAAAATTTATTATTTGACCAAACGTGATGACATAAATACATTCAAAGATTCTTAGTCGTAGATCCTTTTTTTTTTCCCGCTCTTGGGAATTAATAAAAGAACAACAATTATGGATATCATAATGTACTGTGAAGATCTCTCCATCATAGAAAAAGTTGCTCCAACGATGTGGTTTTTCCATCTCACAATCATCATCAACGTTGGCTCTGAACGCCAATTGAAACAACGAAAGAGTGAAGAGAGTCAAAAGTGAGGTGATCTTAGTGCATTTCGATCTCTACTTGAGTTCCATAAAGCATAACCAATCTCAAGCTCGGATTAAAGAATTTTGCGTAAGTTGAAAGACAGACTAAAAATAGTCTGCTTATGATGAATCCTCTGAATACTTAGGAGCAACATTGGTATATAAAATACATATTGCCGATCTAAATTACTAGTTAGGATTGAGAGTCATATGAAAGACAAAGAAAAGCATTTGGCAGCTGCAAATGAAACATGATTTTTCAAATTCCTGAGTAGGAAAAGACAAGTTAAATACAAGAATGGCAAAGATCAATGCCAAGGCTCATAAACAACAGTTGATTATAACCAGCCTTTTTAATGGAAGAATGAGCTAATTCTATCACTTGTTTACAGCAATAACTTCCCTAAAAATAATTAGTTACAGCTGACTACTTGAACTACCCGAGTATGATTTCTATGTTTAGGCAGTATTCTTCTTCTTCTTTGAGCTGCCTACTTCTGATGGCCAAAAGGAATGCCCTTCAATAAGAGAAGGGATTGTCAATTTCAAGTCGAAAGTCAGCCGTTGAAAAACTGCTGATAACATGTGCACATCCACCATGGCTCTATGAGCTGAACCAACTAATGGGATCCCATAGTGTTGACCAAGAGCTTGCAACGAGACTTTTGGAGGAACCTTTGCGCCTAATTGAAAAGTGAAAGTAAAAATATCAAGATAAGAACTTCCAAAGCAATCGGAATTTTTGAAACGAAGACACAAATTTAGACAAGTGGAAAGACCTCCGGACTTCATGACTTCACGTGCCAAAGGAAGAGTATCAACGAACAACCAATTTGGGGGAATATCAAAAGAGCATCTACTGAATTCCTTAATTAGAAAAGGAACATCAAAACCGCGAGCGTTATGCGCCACCAACACCACATATCCACCAGGCTTCTGGCGGCTTCCTACATACCGCAATAAGATGGGAATGAGGTCCCCCATCCTGAAAAATGCAAAGCAGAGTATGAGAGCAAAATAACTCTAACCTCAAGATTAAGATAATAACAGATAAAGATATATTGTTCTTATATAAAAAGAATATCACAAGCTTCTCTGCTAACCAGCCAAAGGTGGATATTTTATACGTGCATTATAAGAAGAAACTTATTCCCAAACAAGGGTAAAAGGAACATATAGTCTCTATTCCACACCATAGACAGGCCATTCAATGTGTGTGTGAATAGTTGAGTCCTGTTATACCACTTGATTTCTTGGCTCTTGTATAATTCAGTCAAAAGATGGTTCTGCATGTACATCTCCAAGGAGAGAACAGAACTTTTATTTGAGACTTCGAATTTGCTAGGTCTTACGACCAGAATTCCGCAAAAAGAAAATTAATTCCACGACTTAGCTATTCATGATTGAAGTTGCACAACCAGGAATTGTTTAATTTCGATGATATGATTTAAGCCAGGATTGTTCATCAGAGTAAAGAGACACAATATGATGTACAACAAGGCAAGGAAGAAAGGATATACACCACAGATTCAAACAATACATATGAGGTGATATACCGGTATGGCAGAATGGTGTGAGCTATTACCTTACTTCAATACCACTATCATAAAGGGAGTCATACAGTAGCCTATTCTAGATAGGAGTAAATTGATATTTTCCAGCGTGTTACTTCACTTTTATTCAGCCAAAGGCTGTTTTAATTCTCACGACACTGAGTCTAGTTTATTTATAAGTTTGTCTGATAATTAGTAAATTATCGGCATATACATCCATGATTAAGAGCAGGGCAAATATGAAAGTATATAATCTCATCTAGAGAGTAATTCACCAAGGTATGCACTAATATGTCGGATAGTTCACTTCTCAAATGAAGGTCTTTTCCTTAGCATTGGAAATTAAATAATGCATTATGACATACAAGCAGACCCATTAAGCCAATAGCACAACACATTAGCAGAGTGAACCCGAATTATACATGTAATGAACAGGTGTTCACAAGAAGTATGCTTCCAGGAGAAAACCGCATGAAAGTATCTTATTGTCATTTAGTTATATTTATACATAAAGCATCCAGATATCAGACACGTGATTAAGCAGGACTCAGTACAATACCCAACATCAGAATGACAAATATATTCTTTCGAAGGAGAACTCTTAATTAGACAAGTTGTAAATCTCATATAGTATTATGTGAAGAAAAGTCAAGAAACAATGAGATAGAGGAAGCATGTGAAACAACCCAGCAATTTTATCATAAATTACCTGGGGACATCAGGTCGATTGACCATACCAGTAGTAATTCCATGGATATGCGAATTCGGAACACTACGTCCAGGATTGACTAATGTCTGGAATGTGCTGTTTTCACCCCCATGAAGATCCCGCAATGCAATCTCGATAATTCTTTCGTGTTCTCTACTAAACCCAGTAGTCTCAATATCAAAAATGATAATAGTCATGAGTTTGGCCAAATCTTTGTTTTCAGCAATTGTCTGTCGAATATCAACATATTTGGTACATCCTATTTCAGTTACTTCTGAATTATATATGTCCACTTTAGAAGTTGTTGTTTCATCTAATATTTCATGCCTGATAGTTGTTTTTCTGCTAAAAGCAGCCTTGTTTTTCCCTTCGGCTTTTGTAGGTAGCGCCTGTCTATTCTCAGTACTATTATATCTACCATTCAGCCCATGTTTACCAGAGGCAAGAACCTTGGAGCTAATGCTTCCCCTACCGATCCTACTTATATGGTGGAAACTTTGCCACCATGAGTTAGTCAAGGTATGAACACTACATCGAGGAAACTGTGACAGCGAGAAGCACATTGCAGCTCTTCTCATCTAAATCCAATAACCGCTTTACAGGAGAGCTCAAACTGATGAAGTAAGAAGATATATTTAACCTGCAGATCAAAAGTAATCAATTATATACAAAGAGGAGATACAAAGAAATGTATTCTCTAAACACTGGCAGCTGAAAGATATATGACCACTGACTTGTCTAATGTCTACAGCTACTGTTATAGAAGTTTGCAAAAAGTACAGCCATTTATATATCCAGACTGTAGATCTCATAAATTTCCCAATTATAAGGCGGTGGGAAACCATTAAATAAAAAGGGGGAAAAAAGGTCTTCTCTAAATCAAGAAATTCCTGGAGAAAATAATATTAAACCTTAGGGATCGCCACAGCAAGCATGAGACCATATCACAGTATAAGGCACTATGTTTTAGCATCTTGATGCTAACATACAGCATCATGTTAACCATGACAAATACTGGCTCTATTAACTGTGCAAACCTTGCTAACGATTATATTCTAACTAAAACCAAATTACCATTTTGGAATGATAGACGGTTTCTGATTAAAACCAAAATTTCATTCTCCAAGACTAGGAAATTAGTCTTATAACTCAGCACTACAGAGTCTTTTAAACATATCTTTTTCAGACTATAGAAAAGCAAAACTTGAGTTACACCTTCTAAGTGTTTCCGTATGAAAGAATCTATTTTGAAAAGTAAAAACTATTCATAATTGTATAACGCAATAAAGCAAGTTGTTGCCTGGTAAAGACCTGATGAACTAAAAAATTACCATTTTGGAAAGTGTTTATTGCACTATAGCCAACACGAAAGATAACACATTGCAAATTGAACTACCCAGAAAATCAATCTAGGTTTATTTAATCCAAACGGGAAAGAACAAGAAATTATTTAACTAACTCTCCAACAACCATTACCTAAATTGAGTCAATCCGAAGCATTCAAATTTCAAAAAGACACTTTTTACCAAAAAACCATCACTGCTGAAATGAAAATGGTTAAAAGTTCTTAGCTTTAGTGAATTTGATGTCAACCCAAAGCATTCAAATCTTAAAAGAGACACCTTTTAGCACAAACCATTACAGCTAAACTGAAAATGTTAAGAAGTTTTTGACTTCATTGAATATCTAAGCAATTCATCAATCAAAACATTCGATGAGCAACATCACATTCTAATTAAGCTCAAAGAGTAAAATTCACCTAACAAACAGAAAGCAAAAAAAGGGGGGTAAAACTCGTCATTTCACAAGAAACGTTGAGAGAAAATTGAAAACCAAAAAAAGAAAAACATGATAGTGGATAAGATAGGAAAAAGACATACCTAGTAATGATTCGAAGAACAAAACACAAGCATTTACTCACAAGCTTATTGTTTTGACTATGCATATGTTTACAGATACACAATATATAGGATGAGAAATGGAGATGGTTGAAAAAAGGATTAGTTAAAAGAGAAATGGGAGGAAACGTGGACGGAAGGTGGAAGTCGTGAAGAAACTGTAAGAAGTAGAAGGGAATAACGTGCGTTTGGAGTGAAGTTAAAATGAAGAGAGGAGGGGGCAGCACCCTTGATGCCATAAACTGCGGATCCTCAAGCTCCGATCCATGGCTTCCGGACCCACTCTTTTTATTTTTTGCAATTTATTTTTAGTTAGTGTACTAGTATTACAATTTCCGTATGAAGATTCAGATATTTTTTGGAGGATGAGGACGTGCGGTGTTTCTGTTGTAAATTTTTTTTCTTTAAATTAAGTATAATGTAAGTTTCTAATTATGTGAGTCACAAAATAAAATTACTCCGTTATTTGATATTTCAATTGTGCATATCAAATACCTACTTCGGTACGGATAAGTATTTCTTATTTGGTTCGATACCTTTCGGTAGCCAACCAAACTAAACTGATATGGTTTTTGGCAAAACTGATAAGTAATGGTGTATTGTGGGCCGGGCTGGGACCGGGACCGGATCGGACCCGCGGTCTTAACGGGCTAAACGGTTCCGGCGGGCCGGTCCTGGTGGGCCGGTCCCTGGTGGTGTAGAAAGCCCGGGGCGGGCCGGTTCCTTGCGTCAAGCCCACGAGACCGGGACCGCTAAGCCCGGGACTGGCAGGCGGTCCTGGGCCGGTTCAACCGGGCCTAACGGTCCTAACGGGCTCCAACGACTCTTTTTTGAAAATTTTTTTTTTTTTTTTTTAAAAAGACCAACGGTCAGATTTTAAAATCTAGCCGTTGACCTTTAATTTTCAACCGTTTGGAACTTTAAAAAATAGCCATTTGGCCCCCAAACTTTATTTTAACCCCAAACTTTATATAATTATACTTTTTCCCAATTCTCAACTATAAATACCCCCTCATTCTTTCATTTTTACTCACCAATTCATCAATCTATCTCAATCTCTCTCAATCTATCTAATTTCTCTTCTATAATTGCTTATTTTATTATTGCAATTTCGTGAAAAATTGTGAAGTTGGTGAATTGAAGTATTCAAGTCTTCAAGTCTTCAACGATTTTCAATTTTCAAGAAGTTGTTCGGCAATTCGGTAAACTCGTTCCAACTCTTAACTTTTAAGAATATATTTTTGTGTGTTTAGTTTGCATAATTGTAATTAATATGGCATTTTCTTTGAAAAAAATGTTTGGTGGTAAGGGAAAAGCTAAAATTGGTGAAAGTAGTCTCCAACCTACTACCCTTCCCCCGGCTCCCCGGCTCCCCGACCCAGACCTGTTACCCGTCCTGCTGCTCCTATTATTCTTGATAGTGATAACCCTTGTTTTCAATTTTCCGATAGTGAATTTTGCCATAATGCTGCACCAGGTGAACAATTAAATGAAGAAGTTATGAATGCTCTTTATCCTAATCAAACTATCTTAGAAAATGATGAGGAAAATGAGGATGTAGATGAAACCCAACCGGATTTAGATGATTCACCTACTAGTCCTGTTAATAACCCAACTGATGCCCCGCCCGACCCACCTGTACAAACCCCTACTTTTAATAGACAACCTTCTAAACGCCTAGAAACATCAATAGTTTGGAATTTTTTTACTCAAGTAAGAGAACAAAATAAGGCTAGGTGTAAAACTTGTGGGAAATTGCTGGCGCATAAACATCAATAATTTTGATGAGACTTCACATCTAAATGAGCTTCAAGTTTATTTGTCGCAGGGACTTGAAAAGGAGAATCCAGACGGCACCTTTGATCTTTTGGAATGGTGGAAGACAAGGGAAAAACATTTTCCGGTTCTTGCAAGGATGGCTCGGGATATTTTATCTATTCAAGCTTCAACAGTTGCATCAGAGAGCGCTTTCAGTCAAGCAAGACTTCAAATAGGTGATCATAGAGCGTCTATGAGGGAGAGCTTGGAAAAATCAGTACTATTCAGAGATTGGATCCGCTCGGAAAGAAGAAACTTTGGACTTGCAGAATCACAACCGGAGATAGACGAAGCTTATGAAGAAATGATAGCGGAACTTGCGGAGGATGCTGCTTCGCCCGGAA